GGGTTGAGGGTTTAGGGCTTTGGGCTTAGGGTTTAGGGTTATGGTTTGAGGTCAAGGGTTGATGGCAAGTTTGGGTTTAGGGTCGTAGGGCTTGCTTGGGCTTCAGGGCCTGGGGTTTCGGGCTTTCGGTTCCAGAGTTCAGAGGTGGCTGGTTGCGGTTGGGGAAGCCAAAATGGGAGGCTTGATACATTTATACTTGTACAAAGGATCTTGAGTCCCACCTAATATGGGGGTCGCAATAATTACATATACTATTATGCGGGTTCTTTATTATATACACAGTATAATATACCCCCACAGCCCTATCCTAATCATTAAGGCCCCGCTCTTAACTTCATCCCGGCAGAGTTTCGGGTTTAGGCTGTAGGCCTCCAGGGTTTATAGGGTCTGATGGTCGACGGCCCAGGATTCCGAGGTTTGTTCGGGTTGTAGGGTTTACTTGGAGGCCCAGGGGACTTAGTAAGTAGGTTATAAGTAGACTTATAAGTACCCTAACTGTAGTTACCCCAATTATAACCCTACTTATAACCCACTTACTAAGTCCCCTGGGCCTCCAAGTAGGGTTCAGGAACAAGGCCAGGAGTAAAACAAAACTGCAGATGCCTGGAGAAACACAGGTTGAGTGAACAACCTTTCATGTCTGCACCAACACAAGGGTAGTTATCAAAATTATGGTCCCTTTTCGGGTACCCTAAACAATAGGTGCCGTATTATAATAAGGACCCAAAAAGGGACCCTAATTTGACAACCACCCACAAGATCACATCGTATTTTCGGTAATATCCGTCATCTCACAGTGCAGTCCCAAAGGCCAAGCCCCTGAACCCGAGCCCTACTTGGAGGCCCAGGGGACTTAGTAAGTAGGTTATAAGTAGACTTATAAGTACCCTAACTGTAGTTACCCCAATTATAACCCTACTTATAACCACTTACTAAGTCCCCTGGGCCTCCAAGTAGACCTTGTTGGCACTCATCGTTGTTTTTGCTTCCGCCAGAATATGATCTACTATAGCCCTTCATTATCTTGTGAAGCCCTCGCCTTAGTAGCCGTAGTGTTTCCAGCCACCCTAAGTCCCAAAGACCCCAAGCCACCAAAACTCCAAGCCGACTTTCATGCGCAACACCTTCAATCCTACATCCTAAACCCTAAACCCTACACTCCTTACACCCTTCACCCTAAACCCTCAGCACGAAAGCCTCGGTTGTCGAAGCCACTGTGAGCTTAGCCATCGGTTCAGCTTCGGGGTTCGCTTTCGGGGCTTATAGCTTTGGGTTTCGGGTTTAGGCTTTCGAGTTTTATGGTTTAGGATTTCGAGTTTAACGGTTTAGGGTTTCGTTTTCGTATAGGGTTCAGGGTGCATGGGGTTTAGAGCTTTGGCTTCGGAGCTTGCGATTTAGGGGGTTTGGTGGAGCGTTCAGGGGCCAGATACAGGGCTCGCGGTTCTCTGTTGTCATGGCTGTAGACCCGCATGAGTGGGACATGCAGGAAGAGCATTGAAGGCAAAGGCGTGCCAGTGCTTCGAAGTAGCTTTGCCGGGAAGGTCTCAGTGACGAGGTCCCTTCCCACGCATCTGGTGCTCTCAGCGAACAAGGAGCTGAACCTGAAAAGGATGGAACAGCTGCCAGCCATCTGCGAGGAGGGCTTCACTGCGGATAACGAACTTGAGCTTCTGAGCCTGTCCAAGCCAAGAGGGGAGAGTGGAAGCCTCCAGCCCGCGATCAGCACACCATCTGGTGGTGGCGGTAGTAGTAGTAGTAGTAGTAGTAGTAGTAGTAGCAGTAGTAGTAGTAGTAGTAGTAGTAGTCGTCGTAGTAGTAGTAGTAGTTTTCGTCGTCGTCGTAGTAGTAGTAGTAGTAGGAGTAGTAGTAGGAGTAGGAGTAGGAGTAGGAGTAGGAGTAGGACTAGGAGTAGGAGTTGGACTAGGAGAAGTGTGGTATAAGACCATACAGCCTCGCAAGCCTTCACTAAGTCTTGTTCTAGCCATAAAGGCGCCTGTCTTGAGCACGTGCTACTCTGGGAATCGAAGAGCCCCAACAGATGTCCAGCCTACACCCTAACCCCTGGGGTTTAGGGCCTGTTTTGCGAGTAAGGTTCAGCTAGCCAAAAGCCTTCACGCACTCCGGGCACCAAACCTAGAAAGCCCTAAAGCCCTGACGCCCTAAAGCCCTACATCCCCAAATCCCCCATCCTACTAAATTGTATGATCTTATCTTATCTTATACTAAAATACAGCTCTAAAACCCTAAACCCTAAACCCTGCACCAAAGCCCTTAACTCGAAAAGCCCTAAACCGATGAGGCTTGGACCAGGAGCCTGAGCCAGGAAGATCCACAGGAAGAGGCCAGTTTTTGTTGGTTTAGGGGGGGTTTGGGGTTTGGGGCTTTGGGGTTTAGGGTTTAGGGTTTAGGGTGTAGCGGGGGGTTGGGGTTTGGGGGTTTGGGGCTTCGGGGTTTAGGCCGTTTGGGGGTTTATGGTGGAGGGCTTCAGGGTTGAAGGTCTAGGCCCCTAGGCCCGAACTTAGGTGGCAGGGTTTAGGGGTTGTGGGCTCAGTGGGAGGTACAAGGGGCTCAGGGCTTCGGGTCTTTGGGAGAAGGATGGGACAGTCTCTGCACCCTACTTGGAGGGTCGGGGGAAGTGTCTACTAAGTAGACTTATAAGTGCCCCAATATGGATCCTATTTGGGGTTATGATACTTATAACCCTACTTACTAAGTCCCCCGACCCTGTAACTAAACCCCAAACCCTACAGTCTAAACCTTAAACCCATGCGCTCACCCCACGGGGTTCTTTGGGAGGCTGCGGCGGGCCGCAAAAGGGAGCGCTCAACAACAAAGGAACCTATGGACCTATAGTTAGTTGGGAGTTTCCGAAAACTAGGGTACCCTATTTTGGGGTCCGTA